TAGTGGAGGAAGCAGAGGGATATTCACGTGATCCCTTGGAGTTTCGCCTAGCAGAGGAAACAACGAAAGCAAATGCGATCAACGATGAACCCCCACCTTTGAATTAGATCCTTCAAAAAATTCAAGATTTCAGTAAGATGGTTGGCGTGTCATGCGATGGATATGAAAGTAGACTTCTGCAATTATTTGAGGAATTAGAAGGCAGTAGGGGACAGGGAATGAATAAACAAGGGGCTAAATTAAGAAGAAAGGGAGATCGTGACCTTAAGCGGCTCGAGTGATCAGTAAATTACGATGCCAAGGGTGTTGAGTCAAAGAAATGATTGCTTGGGAGGGATGACAGAGCGTCTAGATGATCTCAAAAATGGGGGCTTAATGAAGTGGGAAAAAGGTTAGGTATACGAAATTTGTTAAGGGGATGGAGAGTAGACCTTGTTTGCTTACAAGAAACGAAGTTGGAGTTCATCTCGAGGGCAGTTGTTAGGAGTTTATTGGGGTGGGGGGGGAGGGGGGACAACATGTCGGGTATCAATATATGGGGTCATCAGGGGCTTCTGGAGGTGTGTTAGTCATGTGGGACACTAGAATTCTCGAAATGGAGAAGGTCAGCGAAGGACTATTTTCTTTATCGCTTTCGTTCAGAAATACAGGTGATGGATTCCATTGGATGTTTACAGGAGTTTACGGTCCTAATGTTGATGAAACTAGAAGTGAATTGTAGGATGAGTTGGCCGGGATGATGGCTTGGTGGAACATTCCAACGTGCATTGGGGGTGATTTTAATGTGGTTCGATTTCCTACAGAGAGGTCTAGTGGCGGAAAATTAATAGGGGCAATGGAGGATTCCTCAGATTTTATAAGGGAAAATATGTTGATTGGCATGCCTTTGATTGGAGGAGACTTCACATGGTCATCTAATTGGGATCAACCTGTGTTATCACGAATAGATCGCTTCTTGATTAGTGGGGAGTGGGAGACCAAATATCCAGAGGTCACTCATAGGAGATTGGGGAGGATGTATATCGGGGGATGTGAGGTGTAGTGAAAGAAGGCCTTTTAGATTTGAGAAGATGTGGCTTAACGTAGATGACTTTAGGGATCGAGTTAGGGATTGGTGGACATCTTATGAATTCTTTGGGTCTCCCAGTTATGTGTTGGATCAAAAATTAAAAGTATTGAAGAGGGATCACAAGAGGTGGAATGAGAAGGTGGTGGGTGATGTTAATTGGCGTAAAAATCAATGTACCCTAGAAATTGAAGAATGGGATAGGCGCGAGGAGGGTCTAGGATTGGATGGGGAGAATAGGAAGAGATGTGGAGTACTAAGGGGAGAATTGGAGAGACTGGTGGAGATGAAGAAGATTGTCTGGTGCCAGAAATCTAGGGTTACATGGTTGAAAGAGGGGGACAAATGCACCAAATTCTTCCATAAAGTCGCTAATTCTAACAGGAGCAACAACTCTATCGCCCTATTGGAGGTTGATGGGATTACTTATGAAAATGCGCAGGATATTGGGAATCAGATGGTGAGATTCTATCAAAATCTCTATCGGGAAGAGTTTGACTGGAGACCAAAGGTGGATGGACTGTACTTTTCATCTATCACGGAGAAGGATGCCAGCTGGTTAGAGAGACCATTTGCAGAAGATGAAATCAAGGATGTGGTTTTCAATATGAATGAAGATAAGGCACCAGGACCGGATAGCTTCTCATTTGCATTTTATAAGGCTTGTTGAGAGATGGTGGGACCGGACATTATAGATGTTATCACTTATTTTTTTGAGTACGGCAGGTTCCTGAGAAGTTCTAATTCCACATTTATTGTGTTGATTCCAAAGAAACCGGGAGCAGTTGACATTAAGGATTTTCGCTCTATTAGTTTAGCTAGTGGGATGTACAAGATTATTGCGAAGATCCTGGCGAATAGATTGAAGGAGGTGCTGGGGAAAGTGGTGACTAAGAGTCAGAATACTTTTGTGAAAGGAAGACAGATTCTGGATTCTGTGCTTATAGCGAACGAATGCATCGACTCTCGATTGCGTTTGGGGGTACCAGGAATATTATGTAAACTTGATATTCAGAAGGCTTATGATCACGTGAACTGGGGGTTCCTTCTGTACATGCTCGAGCGATGTGGCTTTGGGGAAAAGTGGTGCAAGTGGATTCAATTTTGTATCTCCACCGTTTCATTCTCCGTTTTGGTCAATGACAACCCGGAGGATCATTTTCGAAATAGAAGAGGTTTGAGACAAGGGGATCCCCTGTCTCCGTTGCTCCGTTGCTGTTTGTGATTGTTATGGAGGCAATTAGTAAGATGCTTGAGAGAGCTGTGGAAGAAGGATTGCTAAGGGGCTTTACGGTTGGACACTTACAGGTTTCCCATTTGCTATTTGCAAATAATACACTGATCCTCTGCTATGCAAATAATGAGCAGTTCAGGAATTTGCGTCGGCTACTTCTATGTTTTGAAGCGGTGTTGGGACTGAAGATTAATTTAAGGAAATCGGAGGTCATTCCAGTGGGAGAGGTTGCTAATGTGGATGAGTTGGCCGATATATTGGGTTGTAGGGTTGCGCAGTTGCCTATGTCATCCCTTGGGCTTCCCTTAGGGGCAATGTTTAAAAGTAAACATATCTAGAATGGAGTTGTTGAAAGGGTGGAGAAGAGGTTAGTGGGGTGGAAGCGCATGTACCTTTCGAAGGGAGGTCGCCTTACTCTCATTAAATCTATTCTGTCCAATCTCCCGACTTATTTCTTTTCACTGTT